GTCTTCTGGTTGGACTGATATTTACACAGCCTCTACCCACAATGGTCAATTTAGATCCTATTAGTAATAGGCCAGAAAGGAAGCCTGTTTGTGATCTGTGTCTGTTTTAATTGCCTGTGTTAAACACAGACTAGTCAGGCAAACGTCTCTGTATGTTTCTGGCTTAAATCAGTGATTGTACTTTACTCATGAATTTAGTTATGGAAGATTGGACTACTTGCCTAGAGTTTTATTTGCTGATGGATGTTGATTTCTTTTTCTTCTCTTAATAATGAGTGGCTTGACCATTATACACTTATTTTGATTTAAGTGATTTTTATTATCACTTTTTAACTTTGTTTTTTTTATTAAGATGCCATTGTCATTGGCTGTATAACTGTGTTCCTAACATTTAAAAATTATGTAATTGCTGAAATGTACAAAGCATGCAGCTTTTCAGGGAGTACAATTCACATGAGCCAATAATACCTGAATGATGCCCAAGTTCAGCCAAATGGTTCAAGATGCCTCTTTTTTGTCCTTTATATCTAATATGTGACAGGTGAAGAAACCTGCTGCTTTTTTGGCTGTGTCAGGTAAAAGGGAAAAAACCCACAATAAATGACTTCCTTTCACTTTGTTGTATCAACATCTGTACTCATGGGAGATGCTGGGTTAATATAATTCCATACTTAAAACCTCAAAATCTGGAGCAGACACTTCTGAAGTAGTATTTGAGATAAATGATGGCCCTATGCATGACTTAGTACCCTGAGATAGATGGCCTTTCCAATGGCCATTTTTTCATATTAGCTACTAATGAGTATTATTGAGTCACTGACTAATTCTGGAGAACATTTTGGTGAGTTATAATTGGGGCTGTGATTTACTGAGTATGAAGACTGACAGGCCCTTCCTTAGCCCTGTAATTGATGTGGAAGCCGAGAGAAGGACTCTGATGATCAGCACTTCCTTTCCGTGGGGCAGGGGGTGGCAGGGAAGTCAAAAGCATAATCCAGCCCGAGTAGAATATTATTTTTGTCAGCCGTTTGCGCATTTTACTCATATTAAGAATGGCAGGAAAACGTGGAGTGCCGCCAAGCTTGGGAAGGGCAGTCTCTCGTCCACGTCCTGTTCTCATACTCAGTATATTAAAGCATCATCCATCACAGCTATGCCCTGGTGTTAAATGGTTCATTATGGTCAGTGAACCACAAAATAGTCTAGGTAGAGAGGGCCAGAATTTGGAATCACAGGCAGATGCACAGGCCATATTACTGATTATTCCCAGAAGGATATAATCTGGCTTTTTGTATTCATTGGATTTTTTGGAAGTTTAGATGTGTTTATCCACCTGTGTTTCTGAGCCCTTTGGAAGAAAGCATAGAATAGTCTAACAAGTAAATAAGAAAAACAATATCCAGATGGGCCCACAGCTACACCAGGATGTAGTTTGCAAGTAGAAACTGGATGCTGAGGTTCTCACTGCCTTTGCCTTGCTACCTTTTGTGTGTTGTTACTGCAGATGGATTGTTGGCTTTGGCGTGTGCTTTATTTTCCTCTCCTGGACGTTTTTCTCTGTATGATGGCAGCTGCATGTGTGCATTCCATCCTATTCAGGATGAAATGAATCGGGAAGCTATGGTTTATTGCAAAGCAGTTCAGTACCTCTCCAGTGGAGTGGTGGGCTCCTAGCTCCAGGACTCCCTAAGCCGCAGTCCTTTAATCTTTCATGCTCTTTATGCTCTTTTCCTTGTAGTCTTATGTCATAGTTTGGACATAGCAGACAACGCTCTTCTTTTAATAATCTCTTAGTACCTGTGATGCTTTATCCTCCTGTTCCTCTTTGGCCTCCCTCTTCAGCTCCCGCTCCTCTCCCCAGCCTCCAAGTGTTACTGCTCCTAACAGGCTTGATCTTGAACTCCTTACTTCTACCCTTCTACCCTACCGTACTGTTCCCTCCACCTTTTCCTCTCTAGTTCTTATCCCTTCTTTCTTTCCACCTACTCTCGCCTGTGTCCTAGACCGTTTGCTTTTCTCCAGACACACCCTGTGTATTCCAACCTCTTTCACCTACTTTGGCTCTTTCGGTTTCCTGCTTTGTAACAGCCAAATTCTATCTTTCATTGTGTAGCTGAAAAGCCATTTTAATTCATGAAGCCTTCTATAATCAATAAAGATTTTTAGAAATTCACATCAATTAATATATTATATAATACTCATAGCCCTCTTCACATTTACCTCTTGTTATTATTTTTGTGTCTGTGTGGCAAATATTATATCCTATTAGACTGTAAACTCAAAGGGTCTTATCTTCTACTTAATTGTACCTCTTATAAACTTCAAAATCTGAAACAGACCCAGCATAGTGCCTTACAGTAGTTATGCACAATAAATATATACTAGGCTAAACTAATGAAAATAATCACTAAATCGAACAAATAGAAATAGCCTTTTAAAGACTTCTCTTAGATTGAACTTACAACCTTTAGAATTATTGCCCTTGGCCTCTAAAGGTTTCTATTTGTGCCCAGATATATAACTTTGAGTGAACTTTACATCACACCAAGAAGGTACGCTGTTATCAGGTACGCTGTTATCAGACGTTGCTGTTACTTTCCCTTTCAAGCTGAAGAAGGGCTATAGCTTCTGTTTGCTTTGAGCTTCCTGTTGATGGTTCTCTGCTCTGCCTACTAATCAGGGCTGTATTATTTACCTTGTTTAAAAAGACCCATCTGGACATTCTTTCCCTCCTTTGAATTGTAGTTGGGTATTAATTCACTGCTGCAGGACACGTTGGTAAAGATTTCTGAAATTGCAGGGCAACGTTTCTTTAATCCTTCGAGTTTGTTAAGTGCTTTACTGTAATGGAGATCATAATCTCTTAGTTGGTGGAAGAGATGAAATGGTTACTGGGGATACTTTTCTCTTGCTGCAAAATTGCTATATGGGAAAGTACTTTGTGCACTCTTTTAAAATCCTTTCCAATGCTATAAGGTCTTCAGGAAATAGGTAGATAGCACTGATTTCACGTCCTAAGGCATTGAGTTATGTTCAGGTCGCTATGATTCTCAGAGTTAGTGGCCTTGAGCCTTCATTGGTGAAGCTCGTAGTTTCCTTTAGGGCTGTGCACACACATCCGTAGCTATTAGAGTGCTCAGATGAGGCTGGGATTTGGGGAAACATGTAGTCGTATATCTTGACCATTCAGCATAAATTGCCGAATCGCCAGCTAGCAAATGCTTGCGGGAACACAGGAGAGAGGGAGCCTTTAGGTCATGAATGCTCACATCTCCCTGGTTTGTTCTTACATAGATTTTAAGAGTCATTTTTGATCTGCTCGGCAAATTAAGTTTCCTGATGACTTTAAGTTTCTATTTTCCTCTGCTTTTTTTTTTTCATACTAAAGAATTTTATTGTTTCTTTGTGAGGCAGCTGCAAGTTGTAACCCACCTTGGAAATGGCAACATTGTTAATGTTTTTCTTCTTTGTATGGCACTGATAGCATTGCTTGTTGACCGTGTTTATTAAGTATCCATGGCTTGTGAAGTGCTGAGCAACAGGGGGAATATTTAGATCCAGCTAAGGGCATAAGATATATAGTGATGATTTCTCATTCTAACTGGATATTATGTAAAGACTAGGGCTGGTCTTTTCTAATTTAACCTGGGATCAGTAGAACATGGGGTATCCCCCTGGCTTGTTATTTTTCATTGCCTGGCACTGTTTGACAATAATCCTGAGTGGAATTAGGGGAGGAACTAGAGAGAATCTATTTTCTTTAGTTTTGAGTTATCCAAAATGGTCCCTGAATTCTGGAGGGAAGATAATAAGCAACGACAAAGACAATTTAAAACATAATAATAACTGCAACCTCGTATGTGACATCCCCAAAAGACGTATTTAGCCATAATTCTCAACATCTTAGAAATCAAATTTTATATTTTCACAAATAAGTATTGGCTTTTGAAACCTGAATTTTACATCTCATCTCCCCCTAAAAGAAGTATGGCTGTTATGTGTACTGACTATGAGGCTCTTGAACCATAATACAGAAGCCCTTTCTCTAACAAGCATCACTCCATCCTCGAAAAATTTGTTGTTTTATGTTCTAGTGAGTCACCAGCTCATCAATCTCATTGACCAGTTTTTGGATACTAATGACACGCCCTATTTTATGAAGAGCGTGGACTGCATCAAAGCCTTCCGGGAAGAAGCCGTGCAGGTAACACGTCTCTGCCTATCTTCTCCTCCCAACAGCTAGCCACTGTCCAGGGGAGGGACCTACAGCATTCCACAGCTAAGCCTGGGCTTTGGGGAGAATTGTCGTCCGTGCCAAGACAGGTAGAAAGGACTAAACTCATATCATTATCATTGTCCTTTTTGAGGGGGAATAAAGATAGGAGTCTGGGTGGGTGGACTGTTCTTCCCCTGGGGATTAGCTTTTTTTTTTTTTTCCACACTAGTTTATTTAGGGGTTTTGTTTTCACTCCTCAATAGATTTTATGTAGTTCTCATATGCTTCTTCACTCATTAGTTCATCTAGTTCTAGTTACTCAGTGTCGTCTCAATCAGCACCCATCTTGATAACAAGATTTATTGACAAGTCCTAGAGTTTTGCCAGAGCTTCATCAATTTCAGTTACTTCTGGTAAAGGAGACTAGAGTTCACTAGCAGCTTTCACACTTTCACAGCACCAAAGTCATCTTGTTTAATTTGTCCCAACTGCTGGTTATTAGCCCTGCCCTGCACTAGCCCTTCAGGTAGACTATCGTAAACAATATCTTCCAAAGCTTCCTGTGCCAAATTGCTGATTCCCACTGTTCCAACACCATTTTGTTGTTACCCATTCATGTTTATCTGTGAATTTATGTACTGAGAGCAGAGCAGTCCCGTGTGTAGCATCTGGTCCGCACCCAGTCCCAGCCACTAGGGCTGCAGTGGGCAGGGTGCAGGCTGCAGGCCACAGCCCGCAGGTCCATGCCGCTTGAAGCACCATGTTCTCAGGGACACTGAGGGTCACTGCCATGTGCCTCAGCCATTAGGATTGAAGGAGGTATTATCTTTTTTACATTAAAGCCTTGGCTTTATATTCTTAGTTGGTGATCCAAGGGAATTTCCATTGTAACCTCTATGTTCCAGTCGTTATTATAAAGGATGGGTTAGCTATCTTAGAGAAATTGATAGAAAATGCAAATTGATATAATTATTGAGAAAGATTTTATGAAGACAGAAGTAGGGATCTGAATGCTAGAATAAAAAGAAAATTGCAGGAAACCTTTTTCCAAAATCTCTCACATTGTTTATAGGCTTTTATATCTCTAGGCAAGAGGTGAGCAAGTTTAAATTAGAAAGTCTATTTTTAAAATAGGCAGGCTTGTAGTTTATGTTCTTGTGGGGGTGCTTATTGAATATTTGCTGAATGAATGAACAAATTAATGGTTGAACAATTTTGGTACTTACAGAGAATGACAAGAAAATGAGAAAATCATTAAAATTAAAGATTCAAAAGTAAATGATGCAAGTACCCAGATAAAAAGCAAAATTTTGGGAAAGTAAGACAACACTAAGGATGACTCAGTCAGGTGGAGACAGATTTGGTTAGATGGAAAAAAGGAGTAAAAATGCACTGCTGGTTATTAGCCCTGCCCTGCACTAGACTGAGTGTCTGGTAACCCCTGTGTGTTTTAAGGACGCCGCCATGTATCCTTAAAAGCACCAGGTCGCTGGGTTCTTTTTCTTTTTTCCTTTTTGTTAAAATAGACTTTAAACTTGTTCACCTCTTGCCTAGTGGTATAAAAGCCTATAAACAATGTGAGAGATTTTTTAAAAAGGCTTCCTAAAGTTTTCTAATAAAACAAACAAAACAAAAGCCACACCAAAGGGTGGGAGAACTGAGTAATTTTCAGCGTTCTTTTTATCTTAGCATTCAGACCCCGACTTCTGTCTTGCTGTGTTGCCCAGTATAGGCTCAAGCGATCCCACCACCTCAGCTCCCCAGTAGCTAGAACTGCAGGTGTGTGCCACGACGCCTGACTGTGTTTCTTTAAAAATAAGAGCCAGCAGTGGAAGAAGAGCAAAGACTCCAGGGACGTGTCAGTCAGTCTTCACGCAGAGAACTTTTTTGAACTGTAAAAGCTCAAGAATAAAGAAAGGAAGAAAGTTTTATAGGCCAATTAAGAAAATGAGAATACTAAATATTATTTGCTTCTATGTAGGAATCATTATTGATTTTTTGTGTGGCATATAATGGCATGTGAATGTGCGAGTGTTTTTTCTCTTTGTGAAGAGTATGTATGTTAGATATTTCCTACAGAAATGTTTATAAATGAAGTAATATGACTAAATTTTGCATCAGAACCATCCAAGGGTCTGGGAGAAGGAAGGGGTCTAGGTGAAGAAAGATGGGTTGAGTTGCTAACTGCTGAAGCTGGGTGATGAGGCTGTGATCACTCACTAAATTATTCTGTTCTTGTTTGGATACTAATGACACACCCTATTTTATGAAGAGCGTCTATATTAAAAGTTAAAAAACGAAGTGCCAGGCCACGGAAAAAACGAGGTGGCATACTCTGCACCTTCCACAGATGGAGCATTTCTGGTCCCCAGTGAACACAGCTCCATTTGCAATGCCAGCTTCCTGTTTACCAAAGAAGAACATTTTACATTTTTATATGTATCAATACGGTGATTCAGACAGTGCTGTGGTCTGGGGCCGGGTGGGTTTTGTGTTTACGCTGACCTGCCGCTTCTCCCCCGACTTGCCCCATAGTTTGCAGAAGAGCAGCGCTTCAACAACTTCCTGAAAGCCCTTCGGGAGAAAGCAGAAATTAAACAGTTAAATCATTTCTGGGAAATTGTTGTTCAGGGTAAGTTGCCATTTGTCTTTTGGTCCAAATATTTATGCCATTTTTTTCCCCAAATAAACATATAAATTCTAAATATAAGTTATGTTTTATAGCAACCCAGTGACTTTCTGCTTGGCCTTGGGAAAGGCTTCCCCCTTACTCAGCAAAGATAGAAATTGATCAGTAAGAAGGACACGTAGAAGTCCCAACTGAAACTCTGAACAGCAGGACCCGTTTCCACTTGCTGAGTGGAGCAGCTGTGCAGGCAAACGTTGCCCCTGTCTCAGACTTTTAGGCCCTTTCAGCTCTGCTGGATCCAGAACCCTTTCTTCCCCTTCCCACATTTTGCCTCCCTTCTCCTTTCGTGAGCATGTCCTGCGGCCTTCCTTACCAGCCGCAGCATCTTCCCCAAAGCCTTTCCACTCTTTGCTTATCCATAGTGACCAATGGAAATCCAACTCCTGAAGAAGGCAGCACACATCTTGTCCTTGTTAGGCCTTATCTTTGCTTTTATTCACGCCATTTGCCCGTGTTTTAACCTGATCTTAAAGGCCACTTTTCATCACACAGGCAACTGTACCGTGACAGTTAATTTTTCAGCCCTTTAACTTCTACGCTGGTGAGCAAAAGCAATTAGAATAGGTGGTGGATGGGGTTCCTCAAATCACTTTTGTGTCTCTGCTGTCAACCTAGGAGATGAAAGAAACTGATTTGAGTATTTACTGAATGCCTATAGCATATTATTTGTTGAAAGAAACTTACAGAACATACGTGAGATACATGCTTCCTGATAGAGTATATGCTATTGAGAGAACACAAACTGTCTGTGCCATTTGGAGGTACAAATGAACATTAAATGCAAGGGTATTGTGCATCAGCCCTCCGAGGTAGCAAAGAAATCTTGAGAAGACTGAAGAGTAGATTTTCTGTCTTAGATCTGTTCTCACTGAGCTAAAACTGATGCTCTGTGCTAAGTGGTAGGTGTGCCTCCCGCTGAGGAGCCTGTTTCCTTTTGTCCTGGTGCTGTGGCCTCCCTATAATAGCCAGTGACACTGCTGCAGGCCGACATGGACGCAGCATACCTGATGGGTTGGGTTAGAAGCAGACGCCATTCCGTCATCTTTTATCTATTGAGCTGCTGCGTACTACAGTGAGTCCTCACTTAACCTTGTTGGGGGGTTCTTAAAAACTACAACTTTAAGTGAAAGGTGTATAACAGAACCATCTTTTCTCATCAATATTATAACAAAATGACATTGTTCCAGGACCTACTGTACATCATTTCACTTAAAGTCACAGTTTCCAAGAACCTATCAACAACCTTAAGAACTTACTTACATTAAGGGGATATAAAGATGAAATATACTGGAGAAGGATGGAATATACTGAGAAAAGTGTATTCCATTCAGGAAGATAACATATGTACAAAGAGTTATGTAAGAGAAGATATGATGTGAGCCATTTCAAAGGGATAAGAAGGTCATCTGAGAATTCTAAAGAAGGGCGGCCTGTTTGCATCTGGAGTTGATCAAGGAAGGCTTTATGGAGCAAGTGGCATTTGAGATGTGGCCTTTATTACTTACTGCACAAGGAAAAGTAGGAGAAAGAGTAATGTAGGATGAAACAAACACTGTGAATCAGCTACCTTTGTAGTTTTGTTTTTATTAAATCATAGCTGTGTACATTAATGCAGTCATGGGATATAATGTGCTGGTTTTATATACAATTTCAAATACTTTCATCAAACTGGTTAACATAGCCTTCATGGCATTTTCTTAGTTATTGTGTTAAGGCATTTTATACTGTACACTTAGTAAACTTCATATGTACCCCTGTAAGATGCACTGTAGGTGTGGTCCCACCAATTACTTTCCCTCCACCCATCCTCTCCCTCCCCTCCCCTCTCTCTCCCCTTTCCCCTTCTTTTTGGGCTACAATTGGGTTATAGCTTTCATAAGAAAGCGATAAATTGGTTTCATAGTAGGGCTGAGTACATTAGTTACTTTTTCTTCCATTCTTGGGATACTTTGCTAAGAAGAATATGTTCCAGCTCCATCCATGTAAACATGTAAGAGGTAAAGTCTCCATCTTTCTTTAAGGCTGCATAATATTCCACGGTATACATATACCACAATTTATTGATCCATTCATGGGTCAGTGGGTACTTGGGCTTCTTCCATGACTTAGCAATTATAAACTGGGCTGCAATAAACATTCTGGTACAGATATCTTTGTTATAATGTGATTTTTGGTCTTTTGGATATATACCTAGTAGAGGAATTATAGGATCAAATGGCAGGTCTATTTTTAGATCTCTAAGTCTTCTCCAAACATCTTTCTAAAAGGAACATATTAGTTTGCATTCCAATAAGTAATGCAGAAGTGTTCCCTTTTCTCCACATCCATGCCAACATCTCTGGTTTTTGGATTTTGTGATGTGGGCTAATCTTACTGCAGTTAGATGATATCTCAAAGTAGTTTTGATTTGCATTTTTCTGATAAATAAGGATGATGAACATTTTTTCATGTGTCTGTAGGCCATGCACCTGTCTTCTTCAGAGAAGTTTCTCTTCAAGTCACTTGCCTACCCTGCGATGGGATCACTTGTTCTTTTCTTGCTAATATGTTTGAGTTCTCTGTGGATTCTGGTT